TCCAGAAGCAGTTTGGACAATCAGGCCAGTTGGAATGCCTGGAGTTAATTAGGAGCCTTCCCGAGCAAGAGGAGTCAGGCTAATTAAACCACCTGGGGCCAATCAAGAACCAGTTAAGACCTGGTTTAAAAGGGTTCCTTTTGTGTTAGCTAGGTGGCATGTGTAAAGGAAGAAAGGGAGGAGCCGAAGTCCTGAGAATAGTTTGGGTGAGTGTTGGAAGCTGCAAAGACAGGCAGGCTACGGCTAGACTGGCATGATTTTCCGCAAATGCTTTTAACGGAAAAGTTTTTCGGTTAAAGGCATATGTGGAAAAGAGTGTCTGATTGGCATGGACGCTTTTGCGCAAAAGCCATTTTCGCCATCGGGGCTTTTTTGCGCAAAATGGTTCTCAGCTGTCTACACTGGCCCTCTTGCGCAAAAGGATTTGCGCAAGAGGGCTTTTTCCCCCAACGGGAGAGTCATTGTATTTGCAGAAGAACACTGACAATCTTACATTAGGTCGTCAGTGTTCTTGCACAATTCAAAGCGGTCAGTATAGACAGCTGGCAAGTTTTTCTGCAAAAGTGGCTGCTTTTGTGGAAAAACTTGCCAGTCTAGACGCAGCCGCAGAGAGTGTTTGGAGGATCAGGTACCAGAGGAAAGATACTGGGAGGGATCATTTGGGGAAATGGCCCAGGGAAGTAGTTGTCAGATGGGGAGTAGAACAAACTCCATCTTTTACCGCTGTCTTAGGGTTCCTGGAGTGGAACCCTGAGTAGTGGATGGGCCTGGGTTCCCCCCAACTCTCCCCACACCATTACAGAGTCTGTCCCTGGATAGGGAGACCAGGACTACAGAGGGGTTTCACCCCCATATTGTGGACAAGCCTGTGATCAGTATGGCTCAGTAGGCTGTGAACCTTGCCTCTAGTAAAAGGAATGAGGCCATGTGGTAGGACCCAGTGAACCTCTCAGGCTAAACACTATCCACCAGAAGCACAGGACCCCTGGGTACAATCATAGCTTTGCCATACTATAGAAAGATAGAGTTTAAATGATTATAAGCGGTAAGCACGAAAGGTCTGATATAGTTACCAAAGAAAATAAAAAGCACACAGGCTAAGTCTTAAGCCTTATTATACTAGGTAGCAGTTTCCCCCAACCTATTGAATGTCTTGGAGGGGTTTCTGTGTTAATCGATAACTCAGCACCCTATTGAATGTACAGTTCTTAATATACAGGCTTCCCCTTTTAAGTCTTTCAGTCTCTTCAGTAGACGTTATCATTCTCCCTGCTCCTAGCATTCTTGTTAATTCCAATCTAGGTAGGGGAAGAAAAAAGCCAAAACATGATTAAACTGTCCCTTATTTTATATTCTCAATCCACGTGCCTGGAAGACACTAGCCCATACATGTCCCGAGTTACATAGTTGATCAGTTCGCCATCGTGTGATGCTTGGACAATATTCTTACAGTATTGTAAATCCCTTGTTTACAACTTTCCTGCTCATTAATGGTTGTTTAACACTTTTCTGGGCACAGATTACATCCTTTGTTGTCACTAACAATTTTAAAAGATATTTCAGTAACAGCTGTACAGTAAAATCTCATAACTTCGTACACATTGACAATACACATACTTTGTTAAACCCATGGGTTTCTTATATTTTATATGGTGTGCTTTTATGTACTATATCATAATTATATAACAGGGATGAATACGGAGGTTCCAGGGTGCTGTTTGAGGTACAGGATGCCACAGCAGGCTAGCCTGATGTTCAGAAGCCAAAGTCAGTGCTGGAAGGCTGACATGGATAAGGTTTAGGAAACCAGCAGAGGGGATATCTTGCTGACCTTCCTGAGACAGAAAGCTATGGTCAGAGAAGGTGGGAGAAAACAGAAGAATGAGAACTGGTGAGGGAGATGCCCGTTGGCTCTCATGGCTGGAGGACTGAAACTGGAGGTTCAGAGATGCCTGACAGTTGGACATGAGGTCAGGTGTGTTAAGAGATATTGGGGCTGGCTGTTGAATGAGTGTTAGGACTTGTTTTGTTATGGTTTATGTGACTTAGCTCTTATAACAAAGGAACCCCAGAGGCTGCATGTATACTTTGAAGTATCTTAACTCGAATTTTGGCACTGTCCACAATGTGGGAAGTTGAAGGGAGCACATGCTCTCTTCAACTTCCCTTACTCCTTGTAGAAGCAGTACTACCAGCATTGACGGGAGTACCTTATCAGTTCAAAATAGAGTGTCTTCACTAGACCTGCTAATTTGAACCCCAGAAGATCGATTATGGCAGCTTTGATCTTATCTTTAGTGTAGACATGGCTCTTGTGAAGATGGTTTGGACTATTTCTAGGACTCTGGCCATGGAACATTAGGTGTACTTGCTTTAGCTTTTCATTTCCAGCTACAGAAGGGGGCTCCTGTTGGGACCACCATTGACAAGGAGTTTTTAAAAAATCCATTGCAGTTATACTGAGAGAGTATTCTCAGAAAGGAAGCCTCTCAAGTGACCTAAGGGTGGTTAGATTTTGATTAGGCTACTCTTTCATTAAGTATCGTTCCATGTTTTCATAGCTGGGCTCTCTAAATTGAGATTACCTTATCTCTTTATCTCTGGCTCTCTTTTGTTTATTTCATCAGACTATTGTCCTATATGATGTCTTCGTGCTGTTGGTACATGGGTCTGAAGTGAATTCTGCACCAATGGCAGCATATTCTCCTCCCAGTGCCATTTATTTGATGAAAGTTCGTTGGTGAATTAAGGCGACTTGCACAGTTATTGTGGATACAAGAAACATGAGGCCAAGGTATTGTATACTATTTTGTATACCGTTAACAGGTACCGTATTTTCCGGCATATAAGACGACTTTTTATACTAAAAAACATCCCCCAAAAATCGAGGGTCGTCTTATACGCCGGGTATAAACATACTGTAGCTTCGGCTACATACAGAACGTCCCTGTGGTGATACTGTATGTACCGCGCTGAGCCAATCATGGCAAGCGGTGTCATCTATTAATGCATACAAAGCCTGCTTGAATTGGCTGAGTCAGAGAGGCGGGCTATTACAACCTTTGCCAATCCGAGCAGGCTTTATATGAACATGATGAGGATTTTGAAGGATTTTAAGTACCGGTAAGTCAAAACCATTTTAATTAAAATTATTTTAATCAAATCTGATGTTATTAAATGATGTTGCCTCGGAAGGGGGGGTAGTCTTATACGGCGAGTATAGGCCAAAACCTAAGTTTTAACTGGAAAATTAGGGGGTTGTCTTATAGGCCCAGTCGCCTTATACGCCGGAGAATACGGTACTGATACTATTTTTCAGCATCTTGTCCTTGTATATGAAGGTCTTGCCTGTTTTAGAGCATGCTGGAAATGTAAACTGTTCAGTGGTTTCTGGAGGAAGACCAGACTGGATGCTTTCATGTCCTGATGGGATGGAGGGAATGTCATAATCCTTGTCTCGGTGAGGTTGTGGTCAGATTTGAGAAGCAGAATATTTGTGGTGTCCCCAATATTCACTTTTAGGGTTTATATTGTGTTCAGCTTCTTGTCAGTTTACCTTTTGAGTCTGTTGATGTTGTGTGTTTAAAGAAAAAAGCCAAAAACCCCAATGGCTTTCATGTTGGACAAGAGACTAGGTACTAGAGCACTTTGATTCTGTCTGGATGGAAGTGTAAAGTTGCTAAGAACCAGTAAGACTTAGTAATTCCAGAACTGTGCTATGCAAGAAATCAACTATTACTATAGCTAAACTGCAGCATCTCTGAGAATCTGTAGAGTCTCAGCTTCTCTTGTCTTTTTCCTTGCAAAGCAACATTAACAGTGTTTGTTTTTTGGGTAGAGCATCTTCTGCATGAAATATCAGAGGGGAACAGAACTGTGATCCCACTTTTTTTGTTCTTCATTTTGCTTTGTTTTGGGCTCTTGTCTTGGTGTATTAAGCAAACTTGGGGATGAAGGAGCTATCTAGGCTAGAATAGGGTTAGAGTTTTGACTATACAATCTACTGCCATGATTTCTTCTCCTACCTTCCTAGATTTTACCTCCAATATATTTTTGCTTAATCAAATTCTGTTGTTGTATTGAAACTGTGCAGCATGAATAACTACGAACATCAGACTGTTCAGGCAGGCTGATAAAAGAAATGTTGGTCTCGATTTTAAAAATGCCTAAGTGACTTTGCAACTCAAGACCCTAAGAAATTGAGTGAGAGTTGTGTTCCTAAATTACTTGGATACTTTTGAATATTCCAACCACTGATAACATGAAGATTATCACTTTAACTAAAATAGGGTAAAATCATTTTGGTGAAGTTGACATATTCATGTTTCTTTCTGCAAAACTTGTAAATATTTTTGAAATATTTTTTTGAAATAACGGGCTACTTGTTAAGCCACCAGGTAGCTATTTCAGGATACCTTTGGTACCCTGACTCTCTCTACAGGGAAGAAACTGTGAAACTTACAATACAGTGTTGCCAAATGCAGATAATAAACAGAACTGATTTATGTGAGAATACTTGTAGATTCAAGTGCTTTTTCTTTATAAGTAGAAAGGTGTCAGGATCAAGTCTTAAGAGTTTGCAGGATAAGGCCTTTAATTTGGAATGTGTCATATAACTTTATGCACTGTATGTAAAATACTTCTAATCAGCCAGCGTGGGGATGCACTGACACCTAATGTGGAGCACCCACAGGGACATCACTTGACGAAGAACTTCAATTTACTATCTGAAGTGACAGAGGTATAATTTCTGTTAAATGAAATTTGTGAAATTGAGAGTCAAATCTGGCTTTGGTACTTCTATTTATTTCAATGGGAATTTTCCCAATGAGCACAGGGCTGGATTTGGTTCAGAATGGGTAATTATATTTGTAATTATACTGTGTCTACATATCAGCTAAGTAAAATGTTCAGATATTTACTAGGGATGTGAAAGACTAACTGGTAGGGTCCAGACCAATTTAATGTTTAACTGGTTAAGCAATTACATGGGATGTTACATCCAATAGAGACAATTAGGTCATCTAAACCAGGCCTGCACAACATACGGCTTGAGGGCCGCATGCAGCCTGCAGGGGCTCACTCTGTGGCCCGTGCCAACTATTGGCGGCGCAGCCCCATCCAATCCACCGGCTGGGCAGAAGAGCGGAGCTCCACTGGGGAAGGGGAAGATGCAGCTCTGGCGCGAGGAGGTGGGACGCCAGCAGACACCAGGATAAAAAGGCTCCGGCAGGTAGAGGAAAGGGGAAGGCAGGTTGCAGTAGAGACAAATGCCAAGTGGAGACATTTTTTTTTTTTTTTTTGGCTCAACAAAAATTTTTAGCCTGTGTGTCTGGAATTTTTTGGGAGAGCATCCCTACTTGTAGCCCGCAACTGTTTTCTTTGGAGAAATATGGCTCTCGCCGCTTTCCGAGTTGTGCAGGCTTGATCTAAACTGTTCTTCTGATATAACAGACCATTCTTCTGATATCGCAGACCTTAGTAGTTTGCTCTGGTGATTAATCATCCTTGTTGTTGTAAATATGTACCTAATTTTCTGATTTGAGTTTTTCTAGCCTCAGCTTTTTCAGCCTTTGGTTCTTATTATGCCTTTTCTTACTAGAAATGTCTATCATTGTAGGCCTGGTTTACAAGAAATTGCATAGCCAGCAGTAAAATGTATTTTGTCTTCTTGTATGGTTTGGTTCTCATAGAAGTGAACAGCATGCTTCCCCCATGAATTACACCTCTGTCACATCAGATAGTAAATCAAAGTTCTTCTTCAAGTGATGTCCCTGTGGGTGCTCCACATAGGTGTCGGTGCATCCCCACACTGGCTGATTGGAGAATTTTCTTAGCAGGATCCGGTCACACTGTGCATGCACAGTAGTCATCTTATGATGATGTTTGTATGTTCATTGTACGCGCAGTACGATTACCCCCCTCAGTTCCTTGTCTACCGTCCCTGGCAGCAGACAAAACCCTTAGTAGTCCAGCATTTCTTCTGCTGAAAGACAGATGTTCCATTTATATTACCCCCTTTTCCTCAGATTTCTTTATTTTTTTCATTTGTCATTTCATTTTTCTTTTGCTGGTATATGGATGGCTCCGGGGTTTTCTTCCCTGCCCTCCTCCCCTGCCTATCCTTCCTTGCTCTCCCCCTTCAAAAAAAGAAAAAAGAGAGAATAGAGAGAAGCGTGAGTAAGAAAGGCCCTTGAACTGTTGTTGCCACAATGCCTGGATCATCAGGATTTAAGAGGTGCGACACATGCAGAGAGGCCCTGCTGGTATCAGACCGCCATTTCTCCTGCATATGCTGTCTGGGCGAGCAACACGTTCTGGCCAAATGCTCCTGCTGTAGCAGCATGACAGGACAGACCCGACGAGAGAAAGCTTCATCTGTAGTCTTTCCTTTTGGAGAAGTCTCTCAAACCAGACATGGAAAAAGCTTCAAATGGAGCAAAGGGCACGAGGCTCAGCCTGATAAGACTTCTGGAAGGTGAGCCTCCTTCAGTTCTGACAAAACAAGCATGTCACTGACTAGATCTTTACCCTTGGTGCTTACCTCTTCCAGAGTTAGTACTGGTGATAAGCCCCCGATAACTCAGGCACTTCTTTGTTGTTCCAATCTTTGTCACCGAAGAAGGCCCTATCAGAGCATACCCAAAAATCGTCTTCATTGGCGCTGAAGGCAATGGCACTGCATCACATGGCACATAGCACCAATAGCATCTACTTGCTCTCTAACACCAAAAACTGCCTGTGCAGATGTGTCCTCTCCTTTGGCACCACCGGTGGCTCCAACTCTCTCTTCAGCACCAGCGACTGACCTTCATCAGCACCAATCACTACAGGACTGGCAGCAAAATACTCGGCACTGAAGCGATCAGCTGCTCCGACACACTACATCTTTCCAGTGCACACCCATTCATAGCACCACAGATTTCCCTGCATAGCACCGACCATTCTCCTACTGGCATCAAACCACCCTCACCAAGATCTCCTGCTTCATGGCAGTGAAGGTGGAGCAGATGAGCAACACAGCTGTTTTTCTTCACAGCACTCCTCACCCACAAACCACAGACCTATATGGGATTGACCACCATTCAGAACTTCATACGAGCCACCACCTCACAATTGGTATCCTCACTAATGGCCATACCCTCTTACCCCATGCAATGGCCACCCTGGCAGATTTGGTCCCAATATAGCCACCATTGTACTGCCCCTGTCACCCCAGCCCAGTCAACACCTGCACCATCTCTGCCTCATACTGCATCAGAGGCACCAGATGATGGAGCCATGGAAGTAGAAGAGGTTGATACCGTTGAATCAAAGGACCAATCACCTCTCCATAACTCAGCTTCTTCTCTTGCTGAAGTGGTGATTCCGCAAACATCTACACCTACAGAAGACATCAAACAATTTCAAGACCTTTTTCTGAGGATGACCTCTGCTCAAGAAATCAATTTACAAGAGGTGCAAGAGAAACAATGTAAATTGCTAAAAAATTTACAACCCTCTGTTACAATGAAAATGGTCCTTCCAATGGATGAGGCTATTTTAGATCTGGCAGATACCATCTGGCAGACTCCTGCATCAGTGCCTCTGACAAACAAAAGGACTGACAGGAAATATTTTGTGTCTTTTCTTTCTCCCCTTCTTCCCCTAATTTGCTGGTGGTAGATAAGGTACACCATAGGGCCAAATTACTGCAGTTTTTTGAGGAGTATCCCTGGGAGTGCTCCATATTTAGGTGCATCAGCACCACTGCACCTCTGATCGGAGATTTGTGTCAGCAGTGCCTGTGGCTGG